AGGGACGGGGGCCCCGGCCGCGCTGGCTGCGCCAACCCGGGCAAGTTCCACCATGTGGAGAAGAGCGCGTCGTGCGCGCCGCTGTGCGCGCCCGGCGTGGACGTGTACTGGAGCCGCGAGGACAAGCGCTTCGCCGTGGTCTGGCTGGCCGTCTGGTCCGTGCTCTGCTTCTTCTCCAGCGCCTTCACTGTGCTCACCTTCCTCATCGACCCCTCCCGCTTCCGGTACCCCGAGCGCCCCATCATCTTCCTCTCCATGTGCTACTGCGTCTACTCCGTCGGGTACATCATCCGCCTCTTCGCGGGCGCCGAGAGCATCGCCTGCGACCGGGACAGCGGGCAGCTGTACGTCATCCAGGAGGGGCTGGAGAGCACCGGCTGCACCCTGGTCTTCCTGGTGCTCTACTACTTCGGCATGGCCAGCTCCCTGTGGTGGGTGGTCCTGGCGCTCACCTGGTTCCTGGCGGCTGGCAAGAAGTGGGGCCACGAGGCCATCGAGGCCCACAGCAGCTACTTCCACCTGGCGGCGTGGGCCATCCCGGCCGTGAAGACCATCCTGATCCTGGTCATGCGGCGGGTGGCGGGGGACGAGCTCACGGGCGTGTGCTACGTGGGCAGCATGGATGTGAACGCCCTCACCGGCTTCGTGCTGGTCCCGCTGGCCTGCTACCTCGTGGTGGGCACCTCCTTCATCCTCTCCGGGTTCGTGGCCTTGTTCCATATCCGCAGGGTGATGAAGACAGGCGGGGAGAACACGGACAAGCTGGAGAAGCTCATGGTGAGGATCGGCGTCTTCTCCCTGCTCTACACCGTGCCGGCCACCTGCGTGATCGCCTGCTACTGCTACGAGCGCCTCAACGTGGACTACTGGAAGGCGCTGGCCGTGCAGCACAAGTGCAGGGTGGACAACCAGACCAAGTCGCTGGACTGCGTGCTGGCCGCGTCCATCCCCGCCGTGGAGGTCTTCATGGTGAAGGTGTCCATGCTGCTGGTGGTGGGCATCACCAGCGGGGTGTGGGTCTGGACCTCCAAGACGCTGCAGTCCTGGCGGCATGTGTGCGGCCGCCGGCTGGGCCGGAAGGGCCGCCGGAAGCCCGCCAGCGTGCTCACCGGGGGCAGCGGCGGGATTTACAAAAAAGCCCAGCACCCCCAGAAACCACATCTGGGCAAGTACGAGCTCCCTGCCCAGCCCCCTACCTGCGTGTGAGTGGCTCTGGCCGGGTCCCCACCCTGCCTCTCGTAGGTTTCTTTTTTAAGTAAAAACTTAAATAAGTGCATATATATATATATATATATGTACAAATGTGTAAATGAAAGGTCTTTACCTTGAAATTCAGGATGCACGATCCACTGAATGTAAGAAAGTACTTAAGGCTTCTGTGTTTGGTCTCAGCCAGCGGCCCCTGGAGTAACTCATTTGTGGATTCCTCCCTCCCAAGGAAACTTGTTTAGAGCCTTCTGCAAATACACTCTGGATTGAGTAGGCTTTGCGGCCTATTTACAAAGGAGAGGGCCAGATAACTTCTTTGCAAGCTAAAGAGCCTCCCTGGGCTGGAAAAGTAAGCGGCCCTGGGGAGGGGGCGCCCCCGGGAGGCTGCGGGAAGGCCTGCTGCCTCTGTAGACAGAGCCAGAAAGGATCCTGACTCTGCTTCACACTGGGGGGCTGTGGGGTGTCTTGGAAGACTCCCCCCTCCTCCCCTCAGCGTTTGTAAATCCAAATGTGCAATATACCCCCCCTTCCCATGGAAATAAAAAAGAGAGACAAGTATTTTGCTGTCCATAAAGACAACAAAAGAAGTCTCCCAACAAAAGGCCTTGAAGCCCTCCCTTCAGGGTTACATTTTGTGGCTTCTAATGGGAACTAAGCTTGTGTTATACACATTTGGGCTGCTCTGTGGCCGGCCGGGGGAGGGGGAGAGGGGCATTCAAAGTACCCCAGGGCTTATTGACTTTCCATTGTTAAACAAATGAGGCCCATGAATAGACCAGAAGCCACAGGGTGAGGGACAAACTTTGTCTAGTGGTTCACCTCTGCCAGCCAGGGCAGCGTCTCCCGCCTCTGTACACTTGTAATATATGATATTTTTCACACTCTACTATTTTATTAAAAAAATAAAAGATGTTCTTTAGTTTGCTGCTAGTGGCTGTGCTGCCTCGTGAGATTTTCTCCCCTTCTCGCTCTGAGGAGGAGACAGCAACTTTTCTTCCTCTGCTCTTTAGGCCCGGGTTGGGGTGTGCACTGGCTGATTTCTGGTCAGCTCTCTCAAAAGCTGCAGAGGGGCACGTGTGCAGGCGCGCAGCCCCATCCAGTCCTGTTTCAGGGCCTCACAGTCACATGCAGGCACCGGGGGCTGGAGGTATTTTCTGGGGTGCTTGGTAGCCAGATGCCAGGACTTCACGGTGGGCCTCCAGGAGCCTGCAGTAGCAGCAGGGCAGAGCTAATGAAGAGAATCCAGCCAGCCTTGTACAGGTGACACAACCTGGAAAGAGCCATGTGGAGCCCAGGACAGCTGCTTTCCCATTGCTGGGTCCACGGGATGGACAAGACATGGACCGTGCCCAGCATGGATGAGTCCCAGCCAGGAGATATTCCACGGCAGGCCCCTGCCACTTCACAGCAATGGCCCTGTCCAGTGCCCCCTGGCAGAGCTGGGCAGCTGCAGGCCCTGCCTGGGCGGGTCCAGGATCTGGGCAATGGCGATCCAGCCCCACTTGGCTGGGAAAGCACTCCAGCCAGGCTTCCCTTGGTCTGCACTTACTCCCCCATCTTGAACAGCAACTGGAAGCGCTCCAAGCCTTACTGTGTCCTCCCAAAGCCTGGCAGAGGCTGGCCCCGTGGGCTTTCTGGAGGGAGCGTCGAGAAGCAAAGGGGGTGGAGGATGTGAGCCCCACACACCCCCATTGACAACCCCAGGTGCAGGCCTGGAAGGCACCCAAGTGTCAGCCAGGAAGGCCAAGTCAGAGATGGTGCGCTCCAGAATGCTCCGCTTGAAAACAGGGTGGAGAGGGGGAGGTGGTGGAGGTGGTGGTGGGTTGTTGTTTTTTTTTTGAAGTGGCCACAAATAAAAACTTATCTGTTGCTTGTTCCCATCCAAACTTCCAAGGTGATGTGTCAAACTATTTTAGTATGTTCGTCTGCGTGTATACAATGTAACCTTTTGGTGACTCTCAGGGGTAATAGAAGTCATGTCTTAAAACAACCCACAAAACACCTCAGGGCAGAGTCCCTGGGTGGCACAGGGGACGCCGCCGTCGCTGGTGTGCGGCCAAGGTGTCGGCGCCGGACTCCCGCGGGTTCTGAGGTCACCCCAGCTGCAAGCACTGCTGTGCCAGACATTCAGGTTGGGTCCCCAGGAGAGACAGGTTCAAGCACAGAGACACAAGAGAATAAGACCTCTGTCGGATCTGTCCAGAGACACTGACCTTGTGCAGTGTCAGGACGTTAACAAGCGGTTGGGCCAGCCCGGCAGGGACCAGGTGGAGCAACTGTTTCAAGCATCGGAGCTTAGACACACGGACAAGCTCGCTCGCTCGCTCACTCGCTCGCTCACACACACACACCAGCTGAGCTGAAATCTGACCCTAGAATGCATAGACGGCTAATTGTAAGAAATCCTGATGATAGCAGTTAGAGGAGCCTTGCAAAGGGATCGCCATAACCTGGAGTTTCCCTGGCAGCAGAGTCTTGGCTCCAGGAAGCAGGGAAGCCGTGGGTGGCAGGCAGGCGGCGTGGCGAAGTCACTGGGAGAACCAGCTCAGACAGGCGGTCCTCAAGACCACAGCCCGGGCTCCGCTCACGCCTTCCTAGGCTCCACTGTCCCGCGGGCGCAGCTCACCAGCCCGGGCTGTGCCGCGCAGCACAGCTCACCAGCCCGGGCTGTGTGCGGCCCCAGCGGGGGGGGGGGGGACAGGGCACAGCTCACTCCTGTCCCTCCGTGTGTTGGGGGTGTCCACTGTGGTGGGCAGGGGTACCCTCCAGACCCACTGTGGTGGGCAGGGGTACCCTCCAGACCCAGAGGCAGCGGGGACACCGGTGACCAGAACAGAAGAGTCTGCAGGGAGGAGCTGGGCGGGGCCTGGTGCCTGGTGCATACTGGTCACTACCAGAAGGGCAGCCGCGGTGCTGACCGCACAGCCAGGGCTAGCGCTCTTTCCCAGCCGCCTCACACTGAGCGCTTCTCATCAGCCCCTTTACGTAGGAAGGGCCCTGTGCACAGAGGAGTTCATTCAGGTCCCAGGGTTGCACAGCCAGGAAACGCGAGCACTTGGGTAGGAACCAGGTAGGCTGGCATCAGCCCCAGGGCACTGGTTCAGCAGTAGCTGTCCAGCGGATGCACCGGCTCGGGGTGGCTGGCACGGAGGGGTTTACCCACCCTCTGGTGTGGCTCTGGCACTCCAGGGTGGGTGAGGATTTGGAGCCCAGAGGTGTTGAGTTTCTTGCCCAAGGTCACAAGTACCAAGCAGGGAGGGCAGCGTGGACGGAGCGAGGAAGGGGGCGGCCGTGCGTCTGACCTCTACCCCGTGTCTCTAGGCTCCCCGGCCATGCAGATCAACGCATCTGTCCCCCTTTGCCCCTGATCACAGAGACACTGCCCGGCCTGGCCACGGCCCGCAGCGGCCCTGGGAAGCCTACAGGAGCCAACAACACGGACTAAGAATCCTCCCGGGTAAGGGCACAAGGAATGGCACTGTGCTGGTGGGGAAAGGCGTGAAGAAATCTCTCTTCCATGAGATGTGAAAGTCATCTGTGGTGCGGCTGCACCCATTTCGTGACCGTGAAGGAACACGCTAGTATCAAAGCCCAAACTCCGAGATGACAGCCAGCTTTATGGCTTCATTAAGCATTTCACCTCCAGGGTTATGATGTGAGGTCATTAACTGCCTGTATCTCCTGAGCCTGGGCCGCCTAAGTCTCTCTGATAGAATCGCCAGTGCTTCCTTCCCGAGGCTTTGCGTGCTTACAGATCAGCAGAGATGTTGACTCAGTGGGCCTGGGTGGGTCCGGAATCCATTTGTAATAAGCTCCAAGTCCTGCCAGTCCACTGGCACTCCTCACCTACTGGCCTGGCCAGGGACTAACTGACTGCCCACTTAAGCTAAACCCCAACATGTTGTTCTTAACCGTATAATTAGGGTTCCGCCCAGCAGGTGCCCTAGTTTATACTGGCTGTCAATCACAACTTCTTATATTCCCTGGGAATCCTGTTTCCTTAGGACTATTCTCTATCAACTTTACTCTTACCAGAAGTGCCACTGGGGGTCTGGACTCCTTAAGCAGGGGCCGGGAGAGGAGGCAATTCGATAGAAGTTATCTAACAAGGATGCAATTAAAGAGACTGTGGGATCCCAGGACACCCACAGCAACGTAACACACAATCAAGGAGCAAGAAAGGCATCTTCATAAAAGTCAGGAGCAAAACAGGGCTGGTGTCACCGTGAAAACGACCTTGGACATGCTAGCCATGCAGTGAGCGAGGAGAGAAGTTGAAACTATCCGGAAGTATCATGTTGGGCCACTGACATGGAGGGGGCTCAGAGTGCCCATTTCTCACGGGCCAACGGGGCGGGAGCCACGCACTGCCAAATGCTCTTAAACCACTGTTAGTGCCCACTGCCGCCCTTAATGTAAGCACTCCTTCTAGTGTTTACTTCCTGTGAGCCAAGAGGCAGGGGCTGGGGCAATCACACTCCTTAACTGACAGCTGCCCAGCTGCCTTGAGCGGGGGACTAACAACCAAGCCACCGTGCCAGCCTGGCCGCTCCACACCCTCCCTGACCCCTGGAGGAAGCTGCACCACAACCACAGCTGCCTGCTGCCAGAGCCCAGCTCCAGAAGACTGTCCCAGCCACCACTGTTAATTAAGAGACTCGCATCACAGCCTCGGTGAGCTGGAGGAGGTCCTGCACCCACTTCCACCCAAGCCAGAGGCAGAGCCCTTCCCGGTGTCTCAGCAGAAAGCCTATGATTGGTGCAAAGACAGTCCTTCATTTGCATGTTCTGCTATGACTGGTACAAACACAGTCTTTCATTTGCATGAATGGTCCCAGCCCAAGGCCCACTCAGGAGCAGGAGCACTAGTTGGTGTTGCGAGCACCTGCCACTCACCATGGCCTCCATCTCTGATTACAATTGCTTAGGCGCTCAGGGGGCTGGGACTGCCAGCCCCAGGGAGCTCCTCCTCGCCCACCCACAACTTTTATCTGGAAAAAG